AAATCTATTTTATATCTAATATAAATTTAATTAATTAAAATTGGTTAAAATCAAGTAGATCTATAAACATATGAAAATCTTCAAAATGGACAGTGTAGATAATATGTTGTAAAATGCACTATTTTTTAGACTTGAAATCTTTTTTATTTTTTGTGGTCATACATCTCGATGTCGAGATGATCAATCAAAGGGTTTTTCAACATTAAAACTACCTTTTTTCCATGGATTTTTGAGGTGCATCCGTAGTTCTACATAATAGGTTGCAACGTTATATAAACTTTTTAATTTTTTAAATCACTATAAACTTTTTCCTTTTTTAAATCACTATAAAATAGAGCTCGCGCTTTTGTTTGTTTAAACTTTGCCAAAAATATGTTATACTCCCTTAGGAGTATATTAACTATCGTCCCTCATGTAAAACCTCTTGTAGGATTAATTTTAGGATCCTAAATTTTGGAGATGTGACCTCTTTAGCCCCTAGATTAACACGAAGAGGGAAAGAAAAACCCTAATCTCATCCTCTAATTGCTTGAAAAAAATGATGACTCAAGATTAAATAAACAACATCCAAATTTTAGAGGGGTGAGATCTAAGTGTTACGAGACTTCCAACTTTTTTTTCTTTTTTGTTTTGAGATTATTGATCCAATGATTCTTAAGGGTTTCCCAAAATTTCGGAGTGAATCCCAAGTAGGTTTTCTTATTGATGGAGTAGATGTACACTACAATCCCATGAAGCAATATTTAGGGAGTGTTTAAAGAGTCAAACTTGGACTCTCACAACCATGTTGGAATTTTCCACCTCACTCCGACAATTTTAACTCGAGTGATTCTGAGTCAGAGCAAGTAAGTGTTAATATAAAACATTTAACAGTTATAAAAAGTATGAAGACTCTTCAATTTTGTGGTTCCCGACTTGAGCCAAAATAGGCCGATTACCGAGTCGGTTATTTTTCAAACACTGTTTAAGCTTTAAATTCCATCCTTAGTCAAACACATGTTTTGACTAGAACATGGTCAAATCTCGATTTCTAAACAAATCTTAGGCTTTGTCCCTTCCATTGTCGGCCTAAATCGCGCAAATCAAACTGGAAATTATTAATTATTCATCGAATTTCACCCATACTTTTAGGGATTAGAGAAACTCAAGCTTTTTTAAAGGCAAAAGCTAATCAAAACCACTAAATAATACATCAAAACCACTAAATGATACATCACAACTACCAAACAATTAGCATTTTTTAAAAAAAATTGCCTTTCCGTACAATCAACGGAACCAACAGTTTTACATGCGTAGTCTAAAGTTTATTTATTTATTTATTAGGGGCGGTAAATCAACGACCAAAATGGTGAAATAACGTTCTTCAAGACCGTTACTTTTGGGTTTGGGCACGAGTTACCACAAGAGAGAAATGTCTCTTGTCGCCTTGTGTTGTTTAAAAAATGACCATCGTTACCCTCTAGGTAAATTGCAAGTTTCTGTGGTCCGCTGGCGTGGTCATGCATTCAGATGATAGTTGTAATCATTCTTTCAAAATTGGCCATCTAGATTAGGAATTGCTTATCTGGATTAGGAATCAATGGGGCTCTCTCGTTTTTTAATTGAAACTGAGTCGGTTCAATTCCCATAGACTCGCCTGGTTCCATAAGAGAATAGGGAACTAGGAATCATGCATTTTATATGATAGCTATAATAAGTTGATGATCTAGATGAGGAATCGCTTATTTGGATTGGGACTTGATGAGATCAACCCGGTTCCTAATCAAAACCCAAAATCGGTTCCATTCCTGTCAAAACCCGAAATCAATTCCATTCCTATACACTCGCCTAGTTCCATCAGAGATGCAGGCAAATCTGTCAGCAAACGGAGCGACTTGGATCACCCGAATTTCCCAGTTCACACTTTCTTTTACTAGTTCCATTGTTATTTTCAAAATTAAAATTATTATTTAATTGTTTTTGGAACCGATTCTTGCATTGGAGAATCAGTCCGGTTTGCCGATCCAAAGTAGAATTCTAAAAGCTCGGTATGACCAGTTGTTCGAGTTTTTGAAACACTAGTTGTGATGTTTGGCAACATTGTGATAATATTGGTCACTAGTTCAGGTCCTATAGGAGCACATTCCACACTCACTCACTCCCTGAGGCAAAACAAGTGCTGACAAGAACTTGTGGAGGGGATTTTCACGATATGATAATTTTTAGAATCGAGTACTTCTCTGAAGAATAAAAAAATAAATTTTGAGCTTTTAAACACTTGGAGCTCACTGTTCAAAATTGGACAGTCTTTACTCAATCTTAGAATAGGTCTCTAGGTGGAAGAGGTTACATATTTAAAACTTGGGGTCTTAAAAACCCTCCTAGATCGAGCTAGTGAATAACCTGCTCCTACAAGGAGCATAAAATCTTTTGGACCTTTCGTGCAAATCAGTGACGTGGCGAGTATTGATTAGATGTTAGAACTTGGGCAGTCCGTATCATATATCTATATTTTTTAATGTTTTCATTCCGTATCATATTTTGCCATCCAGTTTTAAAATTGATGTAAATTGCCACGTGACATACAAGGAAAAAGGAGCCAATTCCTCAAAGTAGAAAGGAATGTTTAGCTAAACGACACAGTTTTCATGAGCCTTAAGTCATGTAGAAATTAGTGCCCTCTTAAAAATCCTTGGATTTTAGACATAATTTTTTAAGGAATATAAAATCTCTAATATAGAGATCATGAATATGTAAAAAAAATAAAAAAAATTAAAATTAAAAACTCAAATGGCAATTTTATGAAGAAAATATTTAGACCATTCGTTTCAACCTTCTTGTGGAGGGACCACCCATATGCATCGATCTTTAAGATGAATATTTCATGCCTTAGGAACGCAAATATAGAAATGTGTCCCCACACACATACAACAATTTTCCTCAGTTGAAATCCCTAAATGGTGAGCATTTCATGGCAATTCTAAAGAATTAATTAAGAATAAACTTCCCCATTTCTTTATTGATAAAAGGCGCTTAAATTTTGCCTATCATGAAACATGAAACCCAGATTTTTAGGGCTTCAGCTTAATGAAACTCTCATAAATTTGAATTTTTCTTTTTTTATATGGACTGTTATTCCCTAGTCAGAAGTTCAGAACCAAGTGACCGAATTAAGCAGTGTCGAACTAACATTTCTTTCAAAATTGTATTAAAAACACAAATTCTCACGGGATGAGAACACTGATCACGATCACAGTAAGAATTTATCTAATTCTCCAGTCCTAATGCAAAAATCGGCATGCCCTTATGGATCTACGGCCGCTTGTTATGAATAGGACGCCGCTTTCGTGCATGCACATAGTCCATGCTCATAAGCCGCCATGTCTCCGCATCTCCGAGTCGAGTCCTAATTGTATGCGCGAAATCTGGGCCATCTATTCTCCCTATCCATCAGAGCGAAAGAAACAGCACTTAATAAGCAAAAAAGAACATTACCAAGAAAAGAAAAGAAAAAATTCTACTTTTTTTTTTAAATATTGGAACAAAATTTATAAATTACATACTTGCATGGCTAGGCTCGGCTCCTAAGTTAGCAGGCTTAGATGGAGCATGGCTAGGCTTTCTTGTGGTCTCATGGCAGGTGCATTTCGACTCGACACGGAACAATGAGCTTCTATTTCATGTCAGCTTGAGCTCGGCTCACGAAAAGAATAAATAAAATTCGGCTAAACTATAGTTGTTACTATAGATTATAGGGAAATATATGGAAAAAAAACAAAAAAACAAAAAAACAAATAAAAGTTAAGGGGGTGAAGGTGAGCCAAGCCGAGCCATGCAAGCTTGTGAGTTGAAGGAAAAAAAAAGGTTAGTTGTTGATGGGAGGGTGTGAACTTGGGGAGCTGTAGTCTTCATTGAAGGGTTGAACTTCTTCTTGTTGTTGGTTTGGAAGAGGAGGAGGTAATGGGGTGGGCAAGAGTGTCGTCATTTCTTTAGAAGTATCACTTGAGAAATGATCAATGCCTTGGCCTGTGATTTTGCAACTTGTTTGGACACATTCCTCCACCTAAATTATCAAGAAACTTCACTCTGAGAGAGAAAGAAATTTGACTATTCACTTTGTTGAGAGAGAGAGAGAGAGAGAGAGAGAGAGAGAGAGAGTAACT